CTATCTATCTATCTCTCTCTCTCTCCCTCTCTCTCTATTTCTCTATCTATCTATCTATCCATCCATCCATCCATCTATCTATCTATATCTATATCTATATCTATACATATACATATATATATACATACGTGTTTCTGCCTTCAAACACACCCGAAAGGAGCAACACGCAGCGCTCTACTTGGCCCGGCCTCCCTTTGAGCACCCTCTAAGCGCCGACCCAGCTCCTCTCGGAAACGCCGTGCCCGGTCGGCCAACAATTCCAGACCTCAAACGGAACTGGCACGGAAAACACAATTTGCGCAAGGCAAACAAACAAACAGGTGGATTGCTTGTAAGAGCAGCAGCAGCAGCGGCAGCCGCAGCAGCAGCAGCAGCAGCAGCAGCAGGCCGAGGAGGAGGAGGAGGAGGAGCAGGAGCAGGAGGAGGAGGAGGAGGAGTAGTTGCTGTTGTTGTAGTTGCAGTTGTAGTTGTACTAGTTGCAGTTGTAGTCGTACTGTAGTTGTTGCTGTTGGCCAGAAGGATTTGCACTTTAGGCGTGCGGCGCTTGGCGCGCTCTTTGTCATCGGTGGGATCGCCGGACATCCAAGGTCGGCCCATCGCTCCCACACATCTAAACGAAGAGATGCATTTCAGTCACGGCATATCCAAGCCCCTAGGTCGTCCTTGACCCCCTACATCACGGAAACGGTCTACTCCCGGTGATACATTTTGTCAAGCAGAAGCCCCATCCCGAGCTCACAGGGATCAGTATTTGACAAAAACTCAAGTCCCTTGTCAACTCAATCTGCAGCTGGCTGATGTGCGCAAAAGCGGGTGGCATGCCTTCAACATGAAGGCTTCATGAAGGAAGACCAGCGCTGATTGCTTTCACTGCTTCGGCAAAATGGAGCAGGCATGTGCAAAAAGCCTGCCGGCCAGCAATCATAGGACCTCCCGGGCCAGCACAAAGAATCTCAGCATCCCACCTGACAACTTCTCTAGAACCTGTCCTTCGTCCATCCGGGACTCGCTTCTGTCGTCACGACGTTGGTCGGTCTGAGGGAAGATGCAGACTCAAGCAAATGCACCCTGGGCGCTCGCACTCGTCTCTGTGTCGACTAGCATGGGAAAGTTGTAAGTCCAGCACAAACGACAACCAGCCTTGAAAATCAGGGGCTGAAGCATGGGGCAGTTTGATTAGCGGAATGTGTCACTCTTGCATTCGGCACCCAGACAAAATCTTGGGAACCCCCTCTGCGTACAGCCCTGACATGAGAGACTGTCCAGCACATGATCAGAAAAGCATAGCTGCAAGCACTGGGTTCCCCGTCTCATGAGCCAGAGCTCGTGATAAATGATCCAGCTACGTCGAGACCCGCCGAGCTTCAGCTTCCAAGTTCCAACACTGTTACATTGCTTCAGTTCACAGGGCCTGCACTTCACAAAGTCGGTCTCATGACCCGTGGATAGTCGTGATTCGCACTCGGCTGCTTCCGAAGCTGCACTGACGACTTAGGAAAGAGACCCAACGTGTCGAACTCATGATGCTTGCTCACGTTGCTGCTGTTGATGATGTTGATGACGGCGCAATGGGATAGCTCAGCAGACTTACTTTCCTGACGGTCCGATGCCTCGCATGAAGCAGGATGAGCAAGTTTGAGCAATGTTTGTCTTAAAACGCGTCGTGGGAGTTGGTCCGTTCCGCAAGCTCGGGTTCCAGCATTTTGCTAGATTTCCGCTAACTGCTAGGAACCTCCTCCTGCCGCATCTGGCGAACTCAGCAACGGTGTAACACAAGCATACACAGGCCATGTGGTCTTCGCCTGCTTTGGGGTTTGGCATAGACCCTGGCCGAACAAGTTAAAGGAAGGACAAGCCACGGTAGGATGCATCACAGCCGGATAGACTTGCCCAAATGCTGCTCGACACCCTCTAGCTGCCTGACAAGAGAAATCTTCAGATTGCCCTGCCGCTTCTTGCAAGAATTCACTCCTGCCGCCTTGGGCAGCGTGGTAGAACGGCTAAGCACATTACTACCACCGAATTTCACATGGTATAGACCATATCATCACAAATCATCGTAAGCACAGGCCTCCCTGTGCAAAACATCACTCACGTCCTCTGTCCTTTTCACAACTGAGTCGGCTATGTACTCAGTACGAGTCCGTGGGAGACCTTCGAAGGAAAATCCGACTTTCGCGCATCACCTCTCACGTCGCCAGAGTTCAGCAGGCGCAGATCCACGCCTTGTCGGTGACAAGCAGTGCGTTGATGCAAATCCAAGTCTCCAAGAAGCACTGAGCGCAGCTCCTCACCAGCTCAAAGTCGTCCAAACCTTGCGCAGGGACGCCGGAGCCCAGCAGGCTGCGGGTCGATCAATGAAAGCCGATCTCAGCTTTTAAACAGCTTGCTGTGTGCGGCCTGCACGTTGGTGCAACGTCTCCTGCGACGAACAGAACAGGGCAAAACGCGAGATCGGCACCCCGGTGTCACCTCTGCAGACGTTGGTGCCACCAAACCTGAGATGGACAAGTCCACGAGACGGCCGAAGCCGAAGCCAGTCACCACGATGCTTGAAGCTCACAACACGTCTGATTTGGGGTCGCGCTATACACGCCACCGGCAGCCGATGTGAAAAGCCAAGCCCTGAAGCATGAATTCTTCAAAGCTGGTTGCATGATATGTACATGTGATACTGATACTGCACATAAGACTGAAAAGTCAGGCCAATCATAGAGCCAAAAAAGCATGAGTGCTCTGAGACATACACACATCCGATGCCATCTTTCCCGTGCTTTGCGACACGCCTTCGATCCTGATGAACTGGTGCACATCACGGTCGAAACCAGCTTTCACAGTTCGGGTTTGGACCACGCTTAAACAAGGCTGTGACATTCCAGCTGCAGAAGCTGTCGTTCCTGCAAGCTTGTTCACCTGTTCAACAGCGATGCCTGCCCGACTTCATCGGATAAGTTCAGCGAAACCCGACGACCCAAGGTGCACACCCAATCTGGCAGTGGTGCCACCCCCAGGCGCCGGCAAAGTTCCTGCAGATTCATCTAAACATGGAAACAAAAGAGATCCACACCCACACGACATTTTAAAACGTTGCTTCTCGGCAGCTAGCTGAGCGTGGCGCATCTGAGAAATGATGACAGTTCCGGGATAGTACCTGCTTAGCGAGCCGTTTTGGGGTGAATCAAGAGCAAGCCGCAGGTGCGGACATCGTAGGTCCGGCCCTTCCATTCTAACGTCATTTCTCGAATGATCTCCGTGACCTCATTCCGGCGGATCTCTCTGGGCCCGGGGAGTGTCTTTACGCTGTGACAAGCTCACGGCCTGGCCCTTGGACAAGCTGGTGCAGCCTCGGCCGGCGCTGGCGGTCGTCTTCCTCCGCTTCTCCCATCCAAGGCACACGCCCATTGACAAAGTTTCTCGAAAGCAGTGATCTGGATGGTGACCTGGCCTCACACAGAAAAGGTAACGCACATCCGCACGCGGCAGTCCTTTGCATACTCTGGCGCCCAGGCAAGTTGGCTGCAACTCCAGTCGACCAGTTGTCAGCAGTCATGCCAAACGACCTCATGGATGTGGTTGCGACTTCACCGACACCTTCGGACTGTGCTCCTGACAGTCGCACCATTCCATGCCGTAAACTTCGACTCCAGAATGGAAGGCACCATAGCCTTTCGCCACCCTCAAGCAGGATGCAATTTTGATGCCACGGGTGCTGCGCGCGAATCGTCTGATGCCGACAAGTTACGCATTGGGCCAACGTGTCAGGAAGGTATTCCCAAGGTCGTAGACCCTCACCTCACTCTCAGAAGATGGACGCTGCGACTCTGCACGTGGTTGCAAACCTTCCAAAGCGCACTTCGATGCGCTGAAGCAACGACTGTACAGCACCCCTGGAAAGCCGCTATGTGCAGCCAAAGGTTCGAAAACACGTTCTGCTTGCTGCCTGCCTGGCCTTCGTGGCAGCGGTGCAGATGGAAAAGCTGTCGTGCATTGACGCACTCTAAACAACCCTTGTTTTGCTTTCAGGCCAGCACGCTGTGGCGACCTGTGCTCGTGTCCGTTGCAAGGCATGGCCGCTTTGGGAAGAACACATGGACCCTTCTTGCACAGGCTTGACGAAACCCTACATGGGCCACAAGGAAGTTGCCTTCAACGATCTGCTCAAGGCAGGGCTGGCTTCATACCCGGGCCTCAGAGATGCGATCCCCCCCGGCAAGGTGAGTACCAAGATGCGTATGGCTTTCATGACTAACAAAATTATCTATTACTTAGAGTGCACAGAGCAGCTAAACCGGCATGATTACTCGAGGATTACGGTGCCTACTCGGCATACTGGGGTTGTAACTGCGATGTCTTCGGTGAGCATTATCAAAACACTGTCCTCAATGTAAGTATCACTTATAAATTCAGATTTGTGACAAAGCCTGGTGTGCTGGCCAAAACCTGTCCGCGCATCTGTTTGTCTAATGCTGCGGGTGCTTGTCTCAGTTACATTACACTGCCGCATGGACATAGGCCAGAACAAACCTTGCCCCTTGGCAAGGCCCCTGAGGGCCGCGCGTAGGGTGACCTGAAGACTCCAACGGCACGATCTGCAATCCCAAGGGCAGTTTGTCATGACTGGCCTTCAATGCTCGCATCGTGCGCGCGCATGGGTCTCCCTGGTCGCCTCAAATGGACATGTTAAGCGTTCGTTCGATCACGGCACATACAGTGACGTACTGTTTCAACGACTTCAGTGACGACACATCCGCAGTGACGACACATCCGCCTCCGGTTGCCGAGCTGTGCCGTTTTCTGGACCTCCGACATCGACAAGCAGTGGACGAATGCAAAACTTGCAAGCAGAATCAACAGAATCACCTCGAGGCGGTCTGCCTCTTCATCTCCGCCGGACGACTCGAACCAACCAAACCAACCTTCAATCAAACGGCCAGCCAGTTGCACATGTTCAACAGGACTTGCATATACTTGCATTTCGTGTCACAAGCTCGCGGCTCATGCAGGCTTCGCAGACAGCTCCATCCCGCCGGCAGCTGCAATATCTGTTGGGAAGTCCTACCATCCAAACGGCCGCAAACAAAGTTCAGATAATGCCATAAAACACACACCATCATACACCGACTGGGTGGGTCCAACATCAACTGGTTGGGTGTCCACTTTGGGGCATGACTGCACTACAGCACGTTCCAGTTATACATGTTCTAAACAACACAGGCGCTCTCACCCAAAGACGGGAATCATGAGAGGGCCCATGCCAAGATGCGAAAGCCCGGGAGGCACCCGGGTATGTGGTGAAATGTACGTCCACTCGCCGAATGTGTTGTACAACCCACTCGAAACCTTGCGTACGTTGGCGCATTTCGGAACGGAAATGAACGGAAATTCGTGCACTTGCCATTCTCCGTCCGTAGTTTAGCCTGGGGGAATGTGGACATGGTTAGACATTCCAGGCTCAAGTGGCTGACATCCAAGCCATCGGTTGTTCGTGTCGCTTCTCATCTCTATCGTGATGCGATAAAACAATAGGAGGACGCTGCGGTGACGCTGCTACCTTCGGGCGTGTGAGGCTAGTGCTTCCGTTTGGCGCAGGTGCAAAAGGCACGGAGCAAGAAAATGTTGAGAAAACTTTCCTGGAGAGCAATCACCTGAAGGGAGCCGATGAGAACGTGGACCCTGCTTGACTCGTTGTTGCGTTAGCACTTGGCAACCTCGACAAGACAGCCTTGGGCAGGAACCAGGCCACGCACATTTTGTTCCCGCCGCGGTTCTGTCCATGGGGCAGTCGGAAACGGTCATCTTGATCTCCACAAAGACCAAACACTTCGCCTCCATCTCACACAGGTACCATTGAATGGTGCTCTCATTAAGGACTACTGCTTGAGGTGAAATAAGAGCAGTATCCAATCTCAACTGATGCGATTTGGGGTCGGACACACAGTCCATTTCCCAGGCGAAGCATGCCACATTTCACAGCGCAAGCTCTAGCAAGGCACTCCAACCCAAGCATGAACGCATGCCTAGGGTCGGGTAGGAATTGAAGTAACGTGTGTAAAGGAAGTACTTTCTGATTCTTGTTGACTTGCTTGGCCTGGCCGTTTCTTGTCTAAACACCTTCAGATGCTTCGCTGCGTCATCCCTGTCTCTACAAAAAGTTGCAAATCCCATTCTGACGGTGGATGAAGAGCCTCTCAGCTTCTGCATCCCTGTACACGTCAGAAGAACAAACTGATTTGGGAATTTCTGCAGCAGGGCTACGAAGGACCTTCGGGCCACAGGCATTCTTCTTTGTCACAGTTTTTGTAATCTAACAGTGCAAGATCCAGCTGGACTGAATTTCTGGCTGCAGCCTGATGGAAACTTATGCAGTTTGTGCCCTGCCAAACGGAAGCAGAAAGCACAAATGCGGGCCTTGCGAAAAAGCACAATGTGGCACTCTGTCCAAGGTAAGCACCGGGTAAGCTTCTTCAAGATCAGCTTAACAGGCTAGCTCAGGATTCATCTGTCATACCATTCTTTTAAACAAGCTATATTTCAGGGGTGGTGGGCCTGCAGGTTCCCTCTACTTCATCTGGTGAAGAATGTGCTATGTACATTCCCGAACTCCTTGTCCCTTCCTAGGGCTTTTTCGAAGCTGAATTTCATTATGCATATCATTTCATCTTACGCCCATTTAGCCACCACAGAACGCTCGCATGTTTCTATCGAAGGGCGGACATGCAGAAAGAGCTGCCACGTTGTCAAGGACTGCCACGTCCTGGCTCAAGATGGACGGGAGGTGAAGGTCCTTTTTTGGTTCACATCGCCTGACCGACTTAACAGATGAGGCCCCAACACCTCCACGCACACAACTGGGTTTTGACGCAACACGCCCGAGCGCAGACATGATGCAAAAAGTCGACAAATACAGTGTGAAGCCGAACGTATCATGCAGACCGTCTCCCTGTCAAGCTCCATGATGCACCATCGGCGCAAGATGGTTGCACGACATGGAGCCGACTGGGCCACTGCTGCCACGTTCCCACATGCTGGCTCGGCATCACCTGCTTGCACAACTACATCCATGATCCGAAGAACAACTGGGCTTGCATGCGCCGTGGTCCGTGCAATTTGATAAACAATTCCTTGGTGCCACTGCACTGCGATGCATGGCCTGCTTCCTGTGACTCTCGCACAGAGAGCCAGACTGAAAGCAAGCAAACATGATCGCATTGCAGCTGGACCGAGGAAGGCAATTCCAAGGTGGAGATGTGAAACAAACGATCTCGCCGCAGTTCTGGATGTTGCACCACGAGGTGGTTTTATTAAGGCAGCACATCAAATTGCTTCTGCATTCCAGATGCCGAAGGCAGGCTACCCGTGTTTCTTGCGGCGAAATCAGCGCGCAGGAACCATTCGTGAGCGGCTGCCCACGGCGATCATCACACCAGCAGCCAAAAATGCGGCGGCAGTGAGAACGTGCACCTGCACCACGACACTGGTCGACATGAGACTAGACCACAATCCGCATCGCAGTTCAGCACCTTGCCTGGCCCCAAGGGCGTGGTGAATTGATGGGAATGCCAGTCCTCCACAGGGCTGGTCCAGCTTCCCTCCGAAGCCGTGACACGGACGAGCAGAAATAGAGGAGTCAGACTGCATCGAATACGTCAAACTCACACATGCACAAGCTTGAAGGCCACCTGAGCGGCGTTCGCTGAGGCGTCGTGCGGCTGCCTGCTAGGTCCTCGAGGTCGGCGCCTCCCCAATAACATCGGGCAGGCAAGGAAAACGAAAGAAGAATGTGACTCAAAGCAAGGAGAAAGCAACTCGGAGATGCTCTCCGCGGGTTCGCAGCACTGAGACTGAGAAGGAAAGCCGAGAGGTATAGTCAGTAACACCCCTAAGCATCCCTAAACCTCAAGACCCTCATAAACCTTCAACCCGCGACAAGCAAGCCAGCAGTGCAACTGCTGATGGATCTTTGCATGCACTCGACTCTTCTCAAATATGGTGCGTGGGGAAAAGACAAGCTTGTGATGGCGCAGTGTGCCGGGAAAATGCAACCACTATCACCACTCCCTTCTTGGGGAGGGGGGTGACCCCCCCTTCTCCTGAGCTGAATCCATGTCAGGATTTCGGTTGAAATAGATTAGAACGGGGGGTGAGGTGCTGTGAAATTTCCGGTTCGAGGGAGGAGGTAGGTACGTAGCGGGCCTCACGGGACTACGCTGTGAAATGTAAATGCCTGCCTGGATAAGGGAACCCTTTAAAGCAGAGAGGACAACAATCAACACTTGCCACAGGGAGCACAGGGGAACGGGTTGTGGGATTTTGGGGCCCTACAACAGAGGCCCACAGAGGCCCACAGAGGCCCACAGAGGCCTACACGGTTCTGTTGAATGGCATTTCATTATATTGGGAGGCCAAGAATCAGCATAATGACCGTGAATGGTAGGATGTTAATTTCTAATAGACATCTAGTACAAGCGGAAGGGCTGGCCGAGTAGCAACGAAACGAGTTGGACTTCTTTTTGATTCAAGTCTTGGGCTGAAAGTGCTGGAAAAACCAGGGAGTTGATTGCCTGGCCCATCAATGTGCTGCTTCCGACGAGTTGACGTCGAAGGTGTGATCAAAATCCCAAATTCAGCGTCAGTCCTACAAAACGGATCACCTCTGTTTGGCCCTCTAAGAAACGCGTCTGGAACTGTGGCAAAAAACAAAAGCCATTCTGGGACAAAACACAGGACAGGAAAGACACAGAAGTGTGCTTTAAGTTCACCTGTGAGCCTCACAACTGACCTGCAAAGAATGCAAAGATGCGCCGTGCACCGCACAACTGACATGCAGCGATTTGTCCTGCAATCGTACATGAGGTTTTGAACATGCAATGCAATACGCAAGCACTGACTTGCCAGGTTCTTTCGGGAATCAAGCTGAAACGACAACAATGCCACAGAAAGAAGAAAAGCTTCGATCGAGTCAACTGACATGCCTACATACTTGTCCCATTCATGACACAGGCCTTCCCCTGCGCATCCATCAGCTCGTTGCCGTGTCCAGTCGTAAACTCCACCACGTGTGAGAAACATCTTCGAATCGAATCCTCCCGGCAGCTCGGAAAGTCCCAAAGGAAGTGGGCAGGGCAGCGGTTCGCTTTATCGTGCCTGCACCTTTCAATGCCGAAATGACCGGCACGTCTCGCAAAGATGCTGTGGGTGTCTTTGCGCCACCAGTGCCTTAAATGGATGTCTGGGCATGTCTGGGCTCTGACAGATGTAGGCACGATAACATAAACGGCGCCCAGGCACAGTTCAGAAAACGCATAAACTCATCCAGAATGAGGTAGGAGTCCTCAAAAGGGCAAACGGACACGTGGACACTCTATCTGGCTCAGCTACACGGGCGTCCTTCATCTTCTCGTTGTCTTCCGGCACCAGGCAGTCAATCTGCGAATGTCTGTCCAGAAAGCACTGGAACTCTTCAGACGAAACGGTCAGCCTCCTTGCCACGAGGTCAAGTACAGATTGCAGAGCCACAGCATACCCAGAGCCCTTGTACATCATTCTAGTACCTCTCTCTCTCTCTCTCTGTCTCCTTGCATTGCGCAAAGCTTCCTCACCCGCATTTTCTCCTGCACACGGATTCTCTAACTGGAGGGCCCCTCAGCGCTTGCAGCCAGCAGCGCTGCCTTCCAACAACAAGCACTGGAAAACCTTCCAGCGAATCGGGTTGAGCCGGCGGATCATGTCCCTCATGTCCTGTCCGATATTTCAAACGAAGCTTCACAGAATTTCTGTCGGTGCTGGGATCCTCGTTGATGTTCATTTTATTGACGACCGTATTCACCTGCGAGACAAGCTGTGGCCCGGATCCGGTGAGTGCATCACTCACTCAGTTTTGCTTCGGAAAAACATCCCAAGCTACGATCAGGACTTTAGAAGATGGGGGAAGAAGTGATATATGATTCGAGTGAATGCTGGATGCTGCCGACCCTGACCTTGAACTTGATGTCGGCCTCCTCGCACCACTGCCGAATCTGTTGCAACCTGGGGCGCCGAATCAGAAGCATCTCTGGCAACACTCGCACTCCAGAAAAAGCAGACAAGCAGCTGCTGCAAGTGGGATCCCTTGCCACGCCCGATCTTTAGGTTGATCTCCTGCCAGGGGAAGAGCTTAGATCTAACATTACAAGAACTGCCGGTGTTTACGAGAATGAAGCCATATCTCTGCCACATGACATCGCAAACCAGAACCCAGACATCCCAGACAAGCCCGGAATATGTTGAAATGCTCTTAGAAACCTGACGAGGAACTGCTGCAGCAATAACAGATTCCTCCAGGAAGGAGTCGCAGGAGATGGCCAGGATGTCCACGTAGCTACCTCTGCACACATGCAAGTGTCCAAGCCTGTGATCACAAACAGCTCCGGAGCTAGAGGAGCCGAGAAAGTGCAGAGTTCCTCTCCGAGACACCGTGCTTTCGAATCCAGTCCCCTGTGATCTTGCTGCCATTGGAGACAATGCTCACGGATTCCAGAGCCAAATCCTGCATAGAACAATCAGCAAAAGCTCACGGAAAGTCTATGTAGAAGGTGCCCAGCCGGTTTCTGGCCTCCTTGCAGAAGCGGCATAGCTCTCCAAGCCCTGCTTCCGTCGATGCAATCAAGAAAAAGTTCTCGGACCCCTTGGCCCCCCCCCCCCTCCGGGACCTTCTCATGCAGGAACGGCTCACCGCCACTGAAATTCAGCCTCGGCATTTCTCAATGCAGTCAACTGCCGAACTGCAGCATGGCACAGGCACAAGCTATGGCCGCAGATCTCAGTCTGAGCCTTAGACTTCTGCATGCCCGCCCACTGCAGACGTCGCAAGCATTGCTTCGCCTCCAGCGAGCCAGGTTGCTCAAACAGCTCCGCACTGGTGCGCCTGTCTCGCCTGTCTCGCCTCGTCCATGCCTTGCTTTGTTTGCGGCAGGAAGAAAGACGTCTTGGCAGTGTGGAAGCAGAACTTGCACGTATAGTTGCATTGCCTGACGTTGAGAGTCGTGGGAAGTCATTGGACAACAGTCTGGGCATCAGGTAGCAGTGCATCTCATGCAGTCAGGTATGGAGCGAGGCATTTCACGTAACCCGATTGCCCAGCTTGGCTCTCTCACCCGAAGACATGCAGCATAAGCATGTCAATATCATGTGCCACAACCTGATCTTGCAGTTTTCTCGCCGTGATAACCAACATGGAACGTCACTCACAACATTTCTAAACAAGCTCCCGCCAACAAAGAAGTGGTTCACATGACAAATGAAAAGAGATACAATCTGAACTGTCAAGTCGGTAAACCCAAACAATTCTACGTAAAAGAAGAATCAAATCTTGCTGCTTGGTTCTTCACGATGCACAAAAATTGATTTTTTATCTGACTACGTGCACGATGTTTGCCGACGCTGCCTCGTGTAGTGCCAATTCACGGAGAGTGGCACCGGTGACGCACGAAACTCCTCCATCTTCGATCTTATGATTGTAAGTGCCCGCTGCAACACATCTCCTGGCCGCACTGAGAAAGTCACATAAAATGAGCATGCCGTTTGCGGAATGGCATGGACACTGCTCCCTTAAACCTGTTGCCCGAATCCCTACGTTACTTTTACATGGCTTCTGCACTGACGGCCACCTGGTGCAAGGTGCAATCTCCTGCCACTTTGAAAACCGGGAACCTGCTACTAAGCCCTCAACCAATCTTGGCCTGGACCGCCCGAAGCATCAAGAAAGGACATGACCTCACGCATCATCGGGCAACCAGCAAAATGGAGTGTCACATGGCAAGTCCACATACATCAGAATCTGCACCATCGATGCGCCGTGACAAACAATCCACCTCAAGCCACTCGCACCAAGACTCTGACCTGGCCCTCCGGAAGCCGCAAAGCTGCATATGCACGGGCCAAGCTTCCGCGAAGTGCTTCATCCCGCTCCAAGGACTCCTCCGGTTTCAGCATCGTTCACAAACACGACTTTCAATGACCACACGCACATGTCATGTCGAGCCTACAGTTTCTACGTGCTTTTTCTTGGTTGCCATCTCGAAACCTTGTCATGAATGCCTGATGGACACTCCCTTTTCCCGAAGTGGCTCAAGCAGCAGCGAAAATTTGTCTAGGTACTCCAAACCGATGGATAACTTAACTAAACAATGCACGCCCGTTTGCGTCAACTCCGTCATGGCCAACTTATTGGACTCTGGACGTTATGTGCACGACACAAGCGCGAGGGGAAACACAACGGTTCCACAACTGCTGGCGTTTTTGGGTAGAAACCCCGCTCTGGCCACTGCTCGCATTTTCTCGGTCACGTTTTTTTAACGGCTTCTGAGGCTCTTCGGTGTGGTCTGGTCATCACCGCTAATGCCGTCACACGGGGTTTTACAAAAAAAATTGGAGTTATGCGAAATTGGAAAGATGCTCGTTTCTCCAAATCGGATGCGGCACCTGAAAGACCGTGCCGATGACATGTACACCGCGAAACATGTAAGAAACTGTCGGAGAAGAATCCGTGCAACTGGAATGGCCTCCTCTTGGGTGATGATACCGGGTCTGCCACGCACACGAGACGCCCGCACCTGCACATCAATGTCTGAACCAAGGTTTTGATGCGAAAAACGTTCCCCAACAGCCCGTGCTTATGCCGTTTAGACGTCCTTATCAAAAGAGTCCTTATATGTCCTGTTGCCCGACGGTACCTTCTCAGGAAGGTCCAAGACCAAGAACACGATGGGCCGTGACCCAAAGGAAAGCAAATCCACCAAGTCTTTCGGCATCTCCGCGATTTCTGGATGCTGACATGCCGAGGATTGAAGATCGCAAGCCAAAGCATAAGCAGCTGAAGATGGCCAAAAGCGATCAACTATGATGGGCTGCGTAGGACTCAACCACCGGAGACCGGCAGCGCAAACGTAGTTCCCCAAGATGTAAAAAGCTCTCCGCAGTTCCGCATCCGCAGAATCGAAATATTGCCGAAAATGACCCAAAGGTTTCGGCGGTGTCTTCACAACCGATGCATTCATGGAACGCTGGAGGTTTTCCGCCAGAGTAGACTTCCCGACCCCATCTGCACCTTCCAAGATAACAATGGGCTCATCCGACAGCGGCGTGCCCTCCAACGTCTGGACCTGCATGTGCCAAGCTGAACCTAGATGAACATATGTTTTGAAGTAACCTGCAATGCTGCAGCTACAATTTTTTACGTTGCCTCGATGCTTCGCCAGATGCCAACAGCTTCGCGACCCGTCGGATCACGCTCCAACACGCGGCACGCAGCCTCCACGGACTGGAACATGGTTGTCTGAGGCATGTCCTGCGCAAATCCAAACAAATCTTGTGGACCCAACCCGATGACCTGGGAGTTCGTATAGAAACCGGGCCTTCTGCAGCGAGTTCGGCAACAACTACTGGATTGGATGGCAGTTTGAGCTGATTGCAAAAATCAATAGTTCTAGCAGCCAGGCTCTCAAATGCTCTAACAAAACAACTTCACGTTTTCAAGTGTGCAAACATGTTCGACACCAGTCCACGGCAGCTGTGCCAGGCAATATTTTTAACGAAAGGAAATGCCACCCCACCACTTGTACTTCAAAAAACTCAAGATCGACTTCAATTTTTGCTGATTTCAACGCTGGAGGCGGCCGGTTCCAGATGTTTGGGTTCACATGTCTTCGGGCAGACAACAGCACACACTTTTCTCATTAACCAGTCAAACCGCAACTTGCCGACCCGACGAGCGTGGATCCTCAAGCGCGTGGGTGTGGGTCGCTCACGAAGCTGTCGGCGCTGTGATTGCTCATGCTTCGTCAGGCAATATGGCAAAGCGGTTCGCCACTCGACTGCGTTAAGTGCAGATGCAAAAATTCGAGATGTAGATGTATGCTTCAGAATCAGATGTTATCATGTTCGACGATTTTCACGGAGCCATTCGCCAGCGTGGGCACCTGACTCTGAGCGCAGCAACGCTCGGGCATCAGGTTGAAGAGGAGGCGCTCCCGACAGGACGTGTCACAGTCTTACGTACGCGCCTACCGGTCTTTGCCAGCCACAACGCCAATCCCCGGTCTCTGCCGGCTCGTCGGGTGCAAGCACTGCGGGGGCGCCCTGCACGAAGGCAGTGCTACGGATGGGGACGCCGAGCATCGCCCAGCACGACAAGGACTCGGTCGGCCGCGTCCGCATCGTGCACACGGCTGGCCCGAGTTCGGCCGTGCCAGGCGGAGGAAGGCCTCCGGTCTTCTGTAGACACGCATTTTCGTCCTTGCCGAGGTTGGTCCTTACTCCGGAGCGTGCCTCGACGATTTCAGTGGCCTTGTCACGCGAACGCGAGCTAGAATCGTGACGAAATACAGCTCAATATTATAGAAGGCTGGGCTGCTAAAAATTCGCCTGCTTGGGCGACCTGCGCCTCGTGCAAGGCATCATGCTGTGCCGGAGGGTGGAGACGGCGCCCTACCAGGGGCGCACATGCGGCATCATACGGCACATGTGAAGGGGCCACCTCCCGGAGTTTTAACATGAATGCTCTGTGGGAGAGGGTGTCGTGGGCGCATCGGCCATACATCGAAATTGACGCTGCGACCGTGGCGTCGGCATGCATCCCAGTCACTCGTCGGTGCCGCTTGGTGGTCGACGGCGTTTGAAGATGTTTGAAGTTTGAAGTATAGGGGGCCGGTTTGGTACGGAGACCTGCAATGTGGCAGAAAATGCCCGAGTGCAGACCACGAGTGCCACACACCCACGCGCCCTTCCACGAGCAGTCACAGGAAAGCGAGCGCGGCGTGGCCGATGCGTTCCCCGACCTCAATTCTGAAAAGTGCTATTAGCATCCAAACCATTTTCGGATATGCTCGGAGCTTGTGGTCGAGTCCGTGGGTCAGCACCTCAGCCCGGCATCCGCCGTCCAGGTTGACGTCGCGCAGGCCAGTGTAGCGACAGGTTGGCTTCGTGAAGCTGACCTCCACAAACTTGATGCATTTCAAGCCCCGGTTAACATGCAGAAACTTTCATGTATGTTTTGGCGCCGACAGCTGCGACTGTTGTGGCGCGTCGCGCAACTCGCATGGGAAGCTGTCATGCACACGTGTGTGTTGCCTGGCATGATGGACTTCGGAAGCGAGGCAAAACCAAACAAACAAAGTTTTCTGCTGTCTTTCACATGGTTCTGGACGTGAGGACCATATGCAACCAACCTGCAACAAGCAAGAGTCTTGAAACAACCGTCTATACGGTCAACGGGCATAAACAATAATTGAAGACATTGCTCATACGACAGGAGTCCTGGAGTCCTGTCTTTGAACGACCACGGGTCGTGGTCAGAAAGTGAAACACTACAAGCTCCATCAGAAAATTTGTGCAACTGCACAAATACCAACTACACCATCAACCTACAGACAACTGTGCGACGCAGAGCGTCCGTAGCATCACACTTCACACGCCTCAGCGGCAGAGCATACACTGGCAACAAAGCATACGTTGTTTGCAACCTCGCGGGCACGGTTGGTGATTGCGGCGGTGCTAAACAATGTTGACAAATTGAGCAGTTGCCCTGGTCGGGCTCGAGAACGCCACCGTTCTCGCAAAGCACGGTGTGCGGTGCAATGAAGGAGAGCATGCGCAAGAGTGCCTGCATGACTATCACAAAACCGGCAAGGTCTGATGGAGTTGCCTTGATGACGGGCACTGCGCCCATCGCAGAAAGGGTGAGGCCAATCCCCAGTAGCGAGCATGAGCTGGAGACACGTGTTTTTGTTTTTTTTTGCGACCATCCGCGGGGTCCCAGTGCAACTAGAGCTCCGGCGGCGCGGCGCTCACGCACACAGACACTACGCCAGGCGGGAGGCAAGAGGAGGTGACTCGGCGGAGTCAACGAGGACGTCGCTGAGCAAAGGAGGCTCGCCATCAACATTGGCGGTATTGGAGATTGGCAAGGAGAGCAAGCTGGCAGCGAAGGACCTTGCTGCAGCAACCGACAACAACCCCGACCATCGCCCAA